CTCTCTGTACTTTTCTAGAATTATATTTTATCTATTCAATTTTTTCCCCACAGATTTTTGGCAAAATATTTGGTGTTGAGTGTGAAAAGATGAATATTTTGGAAAATCTTGTTTAAACATTATTTTCCAGCAAATAAGCAAACTTAAAGTTCAGTTTTGTGTGCGTATTTTATAAATTACTTCTTTTAGTATACTTTACAACATTTTTGCCAGAATAAGTAGCAAGAAATTTTAAATATTATCAAAAAATTTAAAAAAAAAATTATTTTCGAATATTTTGTCCCAAAAATTGGGTTTTTGGGATAAAGGTTGTTCACAAAATGGGTTTATTTGTGCAGTATCTACATGTATACAAAAAATCTTGACGATATAAATCGAATGTATGCGAAAAAAATCGATTTATAGGTCTAAATTGGGGTATATGAAGCTCGAAAATACAAACGGCCATAAAAAAAAAATTCGAGCTAACTTTTACAAACCCAGCGAGGGTTTTGCTATTGGATAGGTATATTTTCAGAAAAAAATGGTCCGGTGCGGTTTGATTTCGATGACCCGAAAATTGTCGCACAGTGTAATTGGCCTATCGGCAACAAAGCATGTTCCACCACCAAAGGTCCGTGTATTAAAATCTTGTGCATAGTAGGGGTCATGGGGTGTCTACCATATAATTCAATATACAATTTTGCAGTTTGTTGTGTAAATTTCGAAAATTTTTCTGTGTGGATTTTGTATCCGCTTGAGATGCATTCAAGAATAATTTTTATTCTTGAAATAAACGTCTAGGCCTGTTATTTCCGCTGACAATTTAAGATCTTCAAAGAATCTACGGCTCGTATTTCCATCATTAGAATTGCCAAAACCGGCTTTGGGAAAGTCCACTCGAAGACCTAATTTTTTTTGAATTCTTGTTGTATTCGTTCTTTGTTTTCTTTTATTAATAATTTGTCGGATTCGGTTTTAGCGGGCAAATTTTGGACAACTAGTTTATATGCAATATGTAAAAGGCTTTCAAATAGTCGGATTCTTGCGTGCAAAATGGACAACCCAAATTTTAAGGTTTCCGGATTAACGTCTTTTGTCATTGTCAAATTATTAAACTCCTTAGATACTGCACCACATATATAACACCTTAAAGTAGATTTAGTCCCTGTTTCTGCATTGCAAACTTTGCCATCTATCATTGTCATTACCATGTTACATTTAACTGTATAATTTCTTGCACCAAACGTAACTATAGTGGGTTCTAATTTACTTGTCGCATTTTCCACATAACTTATTTCCTCATTGGTAATATCCACATTCATTAGTGAAACTTTAAAACAGTGTTGTTTTTATTCATATATTAATATCCACATTCTCTTTTACAAATCTTATTCGGAGTGGCCGACAGTAACGCGGTGATGAAGGAGTTGGGTTCTGCCACAATATCTTGTTTTTAGACCCATATGTTATACGCAGAGGCACAAATGAACTTTGAAATATATTTGAGTCACAGTCACTATCATTTTGAAATTTCTGTTTAAATTGTGCCTGCTGTGACCCATCACAACCCCATTTGCAAATCAACTGAAGATCACATTCGTCGTCATTAAGGGTAGGTAACACGTCTTCTAAGTGTTTTAGTAATCTTTCAGATGTATGGTTTACAATATCTTTTAAACTAACTTCGGCACATGTTTCAGTAACGTGAAATGACTCCTTCGGAGGATAGCATGTTTTTTTTAACTCTTTTAAAACAGAATAACAAGGAAGATTTCCTGTTGTTTTGCTTATAATCTCGTATTGCCTCATTGACAAGTTCGCTTCCACAAACATTGCAAGGGCTTCCTCAGGTGAAATATTTTTTTTAGGCGATATGGTAGACTCAACTGCCTTCTGGTACTCAAGAGCACGGTCTTCATTTTCTGAAATTTCCTTGAGAATATTTGCTGCACGTCTCTTTCCTTGAGCTCTTAATTCCATTTGGGCTGCATAAATTATCTTGTTGGGACTATTTGACGTGCGAATGTTTTCAGACTTGCGTCTTTTGCTTCTCTCGCTTGCCTCTTCAAAAGGCAGCGATGGTCTTCCCGGAATTGTCGATGTATTAGGCAATTCAAAAACTATATCCAACCAATTTTTATTCTTATTTAAAAATTTATCCAAGGTATTATTTGCTGCAATCCATCGGCGCTTTATTTCCGATTTTACATATGAAAATGTATGTTTAATTTCCTTTACTTGTTTCTTTGTATAAGATTTCTGTGAAATCAAGTAATTTTCCACATAATCTAGCTGTTTATGGATATCCAGGTCAGTTTGCAACCTCATCAACTCAAATATATATCGGCGAGTTATAGTTTTCACCCCAGAAGAGCCTAAAACCATAAAAAATTAATTATATAAAATTTACAATATTTTGATATAGCATGCAGATTTAAAACGCCTATAAGTTTAGAAAGGGTGCAAAGTGGTGGTTGATTTTGATATTATAAAAAGAGCAAGGATTGAGTTTTTCGTCTCTATGAAAATTATGATCGGGACGAACCCTGAAGTATAACAAAAAACTTACATTATTTTTTTTTCTTTACACAAAAGTAAAAATAAATAACTTTTTTTCTAATTCAAAAAAGTATATGGTATATTAATAAATATTAAAATAATAATATCATAAATATAGGTACTTACCACTAGTTTCAGAATCCATGACACAAGATAAACTTTTAAAAACAGATTATGAAGAAAACAATTTATTTATGAACAGAGTTTTAGTGCATTAATAACAGTCAACTATCACATCGAAAAAGGTCTAAAACGCAACTGTTTTTAGCCCTTGTTTTGATAAGTTGGGTTGGTAAAAACAATTGTTTTTGATCGAGGAAATACTTTACTTTTCTAGGAACCAATTGTTTTTAATTTGGTTTTAATTCCAAAAATTCTATTTATGGCCGGCTAAATTGAGCAAATACCAGTATGTGCATTGTTGCTTTTACGGTTATGTGCAGAATATTGCTTACAGTAACTATAGTTCCTGGCAGTAGGTACTTAAAAGTAACTATTGCTGTAGTTATAGTAATCCGTGTTCCACGCATCAAATTATGTGATGATTTATATTATATCCTTGATTTTTCCGAGAAGTTGCCACTGTTATAAAAATTAGATTTGTTACCATGAGTTTGTAGTTTGTTAATTTACTCCTTTTTGAAAATTACAAGAATTATGGTTGAATTATTGACATAGAATTTTGTTATTAAATCTACAAAATGTTTGTTATAATTACAAACTACCCATTAGTTAACAGATTACAGTTAATTGTAAACTTAACATAAAGTTATGTGGACCTGGATTACCATAAAATCTGGTTAATATTTGCGTAAAACTAACAAATATTTTTTTACTCTTAGGCCCATCAGTATCTTGCCCTTTGCATCAAAAATACTTGAAAAAGTTGTATTACGACAAGTTATAGAACATGTTAATACTGGTATCCTCCCTATTACTCAGTCAGGTTTTAGAAAAAACCATAGTATCTCTACTACTATTTTAAAAGTGATAAATGACATTGCTAGAGCGATCGATAATTCACAAATAACAATATTAATACTTCTGGACTATAGTAAAGCATTCGATGTTATCAACCATAACTTACTACTCGCTAAACTTCACTATTATGGATTTGATCATTCAGTTCTTGCCTGGTTCAGGGACTACTTAACTAACAGAACTCAATATGTAAAATTATATGAAACTTCATCAAATCTGCTAAGAATTAACAAAGGTGTCCCTCAAGGTAGTATACTGGGCCCTTTGTTATTCACAATTTTCACTTCAGATATGCCAGATATTCTAAATTATTGTTCTGTTCAACTGCGGATGATACCCAACTGTATATGTCATGTTTTCCATGCAATGTAAACGAAACAATATGTAATATAAACAAAGATCTTAAAGGTGTGAGTGAGTGGTCTACTAACAATGGGCTACTATTAAATCCTAACAAATCCGTGGCTATGTGTCTGGGTTTAACTATTTTATGTGCAAAAACTGCTAGAATAATAAACTGTGATATATTAATTAATGATTCTGTGATAATACTACAAGACTATGCTAAAAACTTGTGTAATAATGGACTGCAATTTGAACTTTGAGAGGCATGTTACCAAACGGTGCTTTTGTGAAATTTAAATCAATGTATAAGTTTAAAAATGTATTAAGTAGTGATGTAAAATGGAATTTATGTCAGGCTGTTATTTTGAGTAATTTTAATTATTGCGGTGCTGTCTACTTTAACTATGCAAATAAAAAAAATCAAAATTTACTTCAAAAAGTACAAAACTGCTGCTTAAGATATTCTTATAATGTTAGCTTCAGAGACCATGTAGGTCCACACTATATTAGGTTAAATATTTTGAAATGTGTATATTTCTTTTACAAGCAATTTGCGACTATGTTGTTCAATATTATTAAAACTAAATTACCCTTATATTTATTTTCACTCTTGGAATATAGATATAATAGTCATGATGTAAATGTTAGAAGTAATTGTTTGTTGTCAATTCCATACCATAAAACAAAAAAATTTAAGAGTTCCTTCGAATATTTGGCTGCCAGCATTGTGAATAAAAATTTTATTTTGTGGAGTAAATTAATATCTTAAAAATTTTATTAGAGATCCAAGCCAAAGAAATTTTGTAATCTTGTAATTTTAATATGTTGTTGATATTTGTTAGTTTTTATATACTTATTGTTTCTTTACAATTTAAAATTATATTTGTTTGCTGGGTGAGTGGAAGATCAGTAAAGCTGAACTCATGCCTTTTGTGATACATGTATTGTACTGTTTTTCACAATAAAGTTATTATTATTATTATTAATATTCTGCTTAATATAACATATTAATATTCTGCTTAATATAACATAAACCAGTATACGTTAATAGCATGAAGATTATCAAAGATTTCCCTCATATCTAAATTACATTCCTCGAAATTCAAGCAAAGTAAGCTAAAAACATTTACCGCCTACCTCGTTATCTCGTCCTCCCTGAGACCTGGTGGCAAATGGAGGCGAACGTGCGCTTGATATCCTCCTGAAATTTGCACCGGAAACGTTTTAATTTGCGGCATTGCCATTTTGGCCACCCGCTCTCGCAGCCTGGTGTTGTTTTGCATGTGCAACAGCAATTTCGGTTTGGGCATTTGCGTTCTGAACAAACTGGTTGTCGGTATTCCTGAAACAATTTGCAAATGATGCAATTTAAGGTTTACATATAACGCTATAGCGTAAGTAAGTATACTTTTTTATTTAATAGTTAGGGTTTTTTCTATTGATTATGTCTGATACTAGTAGTATCAACAGTACACCAAAAGAAAAACCAAAGATTCCTTGGCCCAACATGAATTAATTTTACAAATACTCTTTAGACATTCAAACTTTTTATCGAAATTCTAGTTTGTTTTGATCTATTTGATCACTTCATAGAGAAAATAAGTTAATCCAATTTACAAGCAATACATGAGACTTTTTTACATCCACAAATAATAAACTTCAGTAAATTGGGCGCTCGGATCAAGTGGTTTAAAAACATTGCTTTATATTTTTTGGGCTACACAAAATCACAAGTTTACAGCAACAATGCTTTGACAAGTAACTGGTTACATACAGCCGAGGATGCGGCGCTAAGTTACTAAACATTGGTATTAAACCTTATTGGTTACCCTTTATATCACAATTATCCTTTATTATAAATCTACCCTAAACATTATCCAATTCACTAAAAAACATTATTAATGACATATGGTGTAATTTGTCAAAAAAATAAGGCAAAAAAGCTTGTGGCAGTTTCCGTTAGACGGACATTAGTTGAATGCGGCAATAATAAAACAGCAAAATTTAAAAACATCCTGAGAACTCCCCTTACACAGGATATACATCAATCATCCGTCCATTTCGAGCATATAACTTGATCATAAAACTTTTATGTCCTCGAGAAAATTCCATTAAGGCTATAATGTTTTTACAAATATTTTAAGATGAATGCCTATTTTTTGTACCTTAAATATATTTTTAATTTTATTATTTAAACTTAAATTTTAGAAAACGTAATAATGTAGAGTGCGTTTCACAAAATATTACAAGAACATTTCGTCGCGTGATTTCCAAAAAGTTTCAAGTATATTTTGGTGAATTTAACAGTGGATAAATTTTCATTATGGCAGATGTTAGTATGATTTTTACTGCAGTGTTTTTAAAATGTTCTAGTTTTAATTTTTAGTGACTCCGTTACACTTTGCTTCTGTTTTATTTTGGTGTTTTTAATATTTGTATATATTTATTTAAAAATAGCTATTTACATACAATGGGAGGAAAATATTGCATTTCCTCCCGCGAATAGTTTGATGCCCGACGCGAAGCGAAGGGCATTAAATATTCAAGGAAGGAAATTCATTTTCCTCCTGAGGTATGTATATAGTTTTTTCTATTACCTTTTAACGGTTTTAAGACATTTTAAGCGTTCCGGTTCCTTTTACTTACCCGGTATGAGGCTATAAAATTATGACAAAATATTAAGTAGGTTTTGCGTCGCCGACGTTACGTTGACAACGCTTTGTTGCTATGGTATTTTTGGTAATACCAACATAACAGTTTTTATAAGCTGTCATAATGTTTATCATAAATTCAATAGTTGCAATTAATTTCCTTCCTTAAAAATATAAAAATAGTGAATATGAATATAGTTTGTTAAAAGAATGTTAAAAGAATGGTTGGATAACCGCGGAGTAAATCTTTTTCCTACAAAATCAAATAAGGCTAGACAAGGTACAAAAACTCTTGCCAATGTAAAATTTAAAAAAAAAAGAGGGAGAAAATTTTTTTTCCTCCCGGGGAGGAAAAGAGGCATTTTCCTCCCTCGCTCGGGGGTGGAAAAATAAGTTTTCTAGTAAGGTAGTAGAAAAAAGCTTTTTTGTAACTGTAAATCATTTAAAGTAGGTACTTGGATTATGCCCCTGCATATTTACTCACCTGGTCCTAGACACTCCAAAACGTAGTACCTCGAATTGGGACTAAAAATCACATTGTGGTACAGACAAGGAGGTTCAGTCACACGTTTCTTAACCTTCTTTTTCCTCCTTTTTGGAGCTGGAGTGGTAATTACGATGTCCTCATCGTCCTCCTCCCAAAATTCTCGCGTTTTAACAACGTACACATTTTCATCGATGGAGATGAATGGAGGTATGGTAGGAGTGGGCTCTGGCACGCATGTTATGCACACTGGCGGGGGAAGAGTTGCTCCTGTACGCGGTGGTACTGAGGTTACACGGTAGAGGTGCTGTTGGCCTGGATGTCCTTCGGGAATACCCAAAAAGTATCTGCAAAGAAAAATACGGATTAATAGGAACGATTTGATTATTACAATAACAGTTATAATTATTTGAAACGCATTTAAATTTGAAAGTAGGTATCTCTTTAGGGGTTAAGTAGAAAACACACAATAAATTTCCAATTTTTTATCAGTTAAAAGTATAAAATATAAAAAAATCTGTTTTTTTATAGTTTTATAAAAAAAGTTTAAAAATCCAATTTTTTACACATTTTTTGACAAGAACTTTTAGATTTTTTAAAAGCAATGTTGCCAGGAATCAAAACTATTTTATATTTTCTATATCAGTCCATTATTTGCAAAAGTTGCTATTTGCTGGAATGCATTTTTTGGGAAATCAAAAAAAAGACTAACGTTAGTATACTGCTTTTTTCGCATTCAAAAAAAATATATTATTGTTGCGTAAGGTTTATAGGAGTGGAAAGTAGAAGTTTGCATCCTAAAAGAGTTACATATTTTTAGAAAAAAAATAATCTTTATTGCATATAGCCAGTTTTGTAAATAAATCTAATTAAAAAAAAAGTTTAACAACGAAGGAAAGAGATTTATTGAGGAAAAAATAACTGTTGTATTTTTAGTACCTAATACAAAATATTATGTAGGTAAACTCTTGGGAACTTGAACAAAACAGTAGTCATTTTCGGCATTTTGGCAGCTTTCCAAACCATCAACGGTTTCTTCTACTGAGGAAGAGGAAGAACCTTTCTGCAAGTGTTCTTTGTAAAAATCTATAGAACTATAGTTCTGGAAGGCTGGTCCAATTTTCTCCAAGTCAATGTTTTGCAAGGAGACCTATATATATATTATAATATATATTATAATAGTATTTTTATCCCCTTTCAGTGTTTTCCCAAGTGGTAATTTCCTAGGAGCCATTGAAGAAAGACAAGAGCACGTGTTTATCACTTGAGCAACGAGCGTCTAATTTGATTGGCGGCAGAGCAAAGAGCGAGTTTTGCAAGTGAGACGTCAAAAAAAGAGCCAGTTTTGCATATAACCGTTATTTTTAAGACCATATTTGCATACTTTAAAGGCATTTTTGCAAATGTTCAATTTTAATTTTGAAATTCTCATTAAAATTTAAATATGGTTGCATAAAAAAACAAATTTTTAAGGTTTTGTCGATTAGCGAGTTTTGCAAATAATGGGCTCATATATTAAATAAATATGTATTAAATTTTAATGAAAGTTTATAATTTTATAATAATATTAATAATACTTTATTCACACTATTATACATTCGCTAGAGCTTTATTATTAAATATTTGTATAAAACGCTAAAACACGTTGATTGAGATTTTTTGTAGGCTTTCCAGTCATATTAAAAAAGAAAACTTGTAAGCGGTGAAACCTAACCCCAGTTAATTTTTTTAAATGTGATATTACTACTTTTGGAACCTTGCTGAAAAGCCCTTTTAAATAGAAAATTTTTAATTAAAAAAATATTTTTAAAAGAGAAAAATTAGTAAATAAATTTTAAAATTTAGTTAAGCAGCTTAACTTAAGCTTATTTTTCGTAAAAACTTGTGCATCGTTTAACCTACCTTTTATGTGTCGGTCACCTTTACATTTATTAAGGAAAACTGTGTATGAACTACTTTATTTGAATATTGCATTTTTTATTGTCTAAAAAGGATTCGGAAAAAGTTGTATGAAAAAAATTAACGTATTTTTATTAGAATGAAATGATTTTTTTTGCCGAATATTCTTTAAATGATTTTCATTTACGTTGAAAATGCAGGCGTATTTAACCGAAACTTTAAAAATAGAACTTTTAATGATGCTTGGGTTCGGAGATCAAATGAGCACCCAAGCTAAAGTAGCTGTCCTATTTCAAATGCAACATCCTGAGTTACCATGGTACAGACAATTTTGGCGATTTACCCTTAAAATAAAGGGGCAAAAATTACCTACTCAGAACACCAATGTTTTGTACAAAATGCACGACGTTTTATAAGGATTTAAAAATTACCCACATCTTCAAGTAAGGTAAGTAGGGTAAAAATTGACTTCATCTGAATTTTCTTCATATCTAAGAACACCCAGTTTTGTGTCCTTGTTCACACGTTGTGGTCTTTCTCGAGGAATATTCCTTACACGTGTATTAAGTCGGAGTACTGTAAGAAAAATTGAGGCTCAGTTTAGCATGAATGGACATCCATGCATGCTAAATTGAGCCTCAATTTTACTTAGAGTACTCCGACTTAATACTGCAGTATAAATTGGTATTTACATACATTATTAAGAGACAAAATATAAATTAAGAAAGGTTTCCATTCAAAAATTCAATATAGGAATAAAAGGTTTTTGTGACAAAAATTGTTTTATTGCTTAAGGTTTTAAAGAAGTTTAAATCCAGATTTTGTTGAAGTTATTATTTTCAAACTTTGTTAAATTAAGCTTGGTATTAACTAAAGTTCCTTAATGGAAAAGTAAGTATTTTAAGTTCATACAATTTATTTCGACAGTCTTCACGATAACTTAATTGGGATGTTATTCTTACAGCTAATATTTCATAAGATAGTTATGAATCCCACAGTAAAAAATAGGCTGCTTTTAATATACAGGGTTCCCCGTAATAGACTAATAAATTCCCTACGAGATAACTAAATAAGTTATTCTCTATGGGAATATCTTCTATAGTCTTTGGGATTTAAGTTAATTATTAATCAAGTAGGCGCCTGTCACAAATAATAATAATTTCCTCGAACGTCATTTTTTCAACGAGAAGTTTGTTAGTTTTCATCAATAATTATTTAAATTATTTTTTTTTTTTGCTTTGAGACATTATTTCAACATCCGTTTGAACTTTCATGGATTAGTCAGTCCAACAACGTGTGTTTTGTGTAGAAACTTACATAAGAAGCAATTCGATAGAAGAAGTTAGGCGTGCATTCCGGCGTCAGTTTAATAACAACAATAGGGGTCACGCGCCAAATCGTAAAACTGTTAAGTTATTACACCAGAAAATATTGAACGAGTTAGAATTGCGTTTACGACTTTACCACTTTTTATCTAATATTAAAAAATGTGTTGAAGTTGGTGGAGGGCATTTAGAAGACGTGATTTTTAAAAGTTAGAATTAAATTAGCCAAATATTTATAAGTTATCATAAATCCCAAAGAGTTAGCTGTAATTTAGTATAATAAAAAGTTTGTTTTGTTAACTAAAAAAATTTTTAAATCAAATGTTAAAATGGGTAGGCTATTATGGGGAACCCTGTATAATATAATAAATAAAGTGATGCAGATTTGGAAAGATCCAAGGACTAAAGCCTGAGGAAGTCCATAGACAACCTCCCTGATAACACTCACATACTCTCACCAATTTATTTATTAATGCTATTGAATTTTTGAAAAAATTGTAATCGCTTAACTTTTTTAGTAGGGCATAGTGTAGTACGCTGTCGCAAAAGTGGCAAAATGTTGCAATTAAATGTTCCTGTTTTTTTAATTGTTAAACATACTGTTTAACAATTGCTGAAGATGTCCAGCCTCCAAAGGGAGGGAGATCGCCACCGTTTTTTGCTAACATAGTGGCTGAGGTTCTCCTAAAGCAATGTCCTGTGTAACATTAAGAATTCTTAAAGTTTAAAAAAATTTAATTTTTTTGTGGAACATATCCTATTTTGTGAATTCCTACAAGCTGTGCAGTTCATTTGCCGTTTCTGTGGTCTACTATGAGACCCAACAGGTCGAAACAGGCTGTCTGTCAGTGTTTGTGTCATTGGACTATACCATTCGGGAAACGCACTTCGAGCCCGGCTCTGCAATATTGGTTGCCTACTACTGGCGTAAAGTAGACAACCTATTGTTTCTGAAATATTGCCGCATAGATGGTCAAAGATAGTTAGACTCTTTTGGGCCGCGTACGGTTTGATAAACCCACTGTGTGTGTCTAAATGCATTGTAATTGCACGCCGCACAGCGAGCCCACGTCTTTAGACGGTAGATGTCGCCAGACTGACTTGCCGATACATCTCGCCGCTGTCCTGGTCACTTATTTCCTTATAAGTGAACAGTGCCGAACTTGATGCATGTCTCCCGTCACCGACTGCCTGACACTGATGAGACCCAACAGGTCGAAACAGGCTGTCTGTTAGTGTTGATGGGTATGGTGCATTAGTCATTGAACCATACCATTCGAGCCCGGCTCGGTGGCGAGATGGAAGGCATTTCAGTCTGCAATATTGGTTGTTTTCTACTGGCGTAAAATAGAAAACCTATTGTTTCTGAATTAATCTTAGTGCAAATAAGTTTTTGATAGTCGGCATTAGCTGCAGCTACACTCGGCCTTGGTCGGCAGCTAATACGAAAATGCCGAGTAGGTACTAAATTAACAGAAAAATGAGGATTACAAAGAACTACTTTATCAATATTTGACTGTAAAATTTATAAAATGCTCTTTTTTTTAAAACTATGCATTTTATTAAATTAAATTTCCTAAAAAAGTCTTCTTTAATTTTACCTGTAACTTTAACAGTTTTTTTATTTTTTTGTTGATTCATATTAAGGGCCATCCTAAAATACAGTGTGTCCGTAAAGTCCCGACATGAGATTATTCGTCAACTTTGTTATTTTTCTAGTAATATTTTAGCCTATCTAGTTGTTCCAAAATCTGCCGCGTGGCGGCGCCCCAATCGAAGTAAGGATTTTTTAAATTACAACCCTTTATTTTTGTTACATTTTTTGGTAGCTACCGTTGTCCTGAGTACATTGATATGCTACATGTGGAGGGTTACATAAGAAAGTTTTTGAGAAAAGCAAGTTTTTGCTGCCGATTGAGATTTTGGTATTTTGACGAACTTATTCGCTGTTCGGCCATTCCACGCGTATAACGGATGGGACAGTTGCAAGTTTTTATTTACAAAATAATATTGTTCTATTATATTACTAATGTCAAATTTTTATAAATAGTTCTAAACAAAAGCTGTTTAACAAGGTTTTTATTTAGCAAAAGTAGGTATCGTGGTTGAATGTTTAATTCCTT